GAGTTTGTTTTACAGGAAGCTTCAAAATTTGGTCTAAGCAAATCACAGAATCATAGAAAAGTAGGGCTGGGAGGGGCTCAGGAGGTCTAGGCCAGCCCCTGTTCAAAGCAGGATCATCCCAGCCAAGGCTTTGTCTAGCTGAGTCTTAGAAACCTCCAAGGATGGAGGCTTCACAACTTTTCTGGCTAACCTGTTCCAGTGCTTTGCTGCTCTCCTACTGAGAGAGTTTTTTCTAATGTCTAATCTAAACTTCTCTTGCTGCAACTTGAGACCATTGCTCCTCTGTCACCTGCCACCACTGAGAACAGTCTAGGCCCATCCTCTTTGGAGACAAAGATACATTTTGTCCAGTTTTCACCAGATCTAATGTAAACATTTTTAAAAAAATCTCAGAGCTCAAGCGTCATTGGAAGAACGAAGCTTAGGGAACAAGTTGGCCTGTAAATCATCCCTCCAGTCCAGTTCAGCACTAGGGAGGCCTTGCTTGTGCCCTTTTAAAGCAGTACATTTCAAGAAACATGAACAAATTAGAAAAAGCCCAGAGGAGGGCAACAAAAATGAATAGGTGTCTAGCAAACATGACACATGGGACAAGGTAGAGGAATCAGGACCATTTTGCTTGGAGAAGAGAAGACTAAAAGAGGCTTTGTTAAGTCTTCAGGTACAAGTAGGCTTGTTATAAAGAGGAGGGTGACCAATTGTTCGGTGTCCACTGGGATTAGAACAAGAAATAATGGATTTAAATTGCAACAAGTACAATTTTAGAAAGTTCTTCCTAATTGCATAATCCAGCACTGTGCAACTTCTGAGGACCACAGGCCACCATGGTTGCAGGACTAAGTGTGCATGCTATGTGGGCAAGAGAAGCCCCTACACCACATGCTCCTTGCCACACCACATGAGCAGTGCAAGCCCCCTTCACGATGCACTGTGCAGGCAGTGTAAACGCCCCCTTCAACACTGGGCAGGTGGCGGGATCTCTGGGCTTACTCCTTGCCCCAGAGACCCTGACCGCCACAACAGCAGGAGCAAGGGAAGGAGTAGCAGCTGGGAGAGATCCTGCAGGCCATGCATTCACCTCTTGTGGTCCAGATGGAGCTTGCAGACCAGCAGTCGAACAGCCCTGATACATCCTAATACTAGGATGCTTTACCACAAGAACATATTTGGCATATAACATTCGTGGAATCTCTGTTATTGAGACCCTGTTTTGGTTCAGAGCTACCTAATAGGAACTGTCTGTAATAATGAACCCTGAGCTAAAGAAAGTTATATAGAAAGATCAGAGAGGCCTGCATAAGCTGTATTACATTGACTTTTCCATGTGGTTGGACAGCAGTCCCCCATAAGCAGCTTCCCTGATATGGTTGTATTTAGGAGTAAGCCTCTTCCTCTTCACATGAAGCACCAATGCTACCTGATTCTGGAGTGAAATAATACATTGCAGTGCTTCTCTGCTTCCATTTAAAATTTGATCAGCAAAGTGGAAGCTGGTTTTGATTTAGGTTTTGTTGCTTGTTATTTGAAGAATAATGATTTAATGGGGCAAATGTTATCGTCTCTTCTTTATTCACATACTCATAAAATTGGACTGTCTTTTATTCTTATTTGGCACAGTTATCCTCTCCTGAAAAAAATTCCTATTCACAGTAATTTGAAGTGTTTGAAAAAAAAAGAATGTATGATACATTAAACTTTGTGTAAAATGATAATTGAAAGACTGGAGTGCATTTTAGGTATTCATTATGGACAGCAATGAAACCTTTAGTGATTCCTTTCAAAATGGATTTTAAGGAGTTGTCTTTATATTGGCACTTACTGTGTAAGAGGTTTTTTATTAAACCATTTTTATTAGAAAAAGACACAAAACTGGATATTTCTTTTGCTGTAAGAACTTCCAGCTATGAAATGAAGAAGATATAAATCATCCTGGAAAGGCAGGGCTTTTAAGGGTTCTGTTTCTTAATGAGGAAAAGCATTAAAATGGGAGAACCTCAAACGATGTGCTGACTGTCACTCTTCTCTGATAAGCCCAAGAGCATCAAATTGACAAAGGGGACCTTTCAGTCATAGATGACTTGATGTGTGTGTGGGGGGGTGCATTCCCATACACACTCACTTTGGGTTTGCAGTGCGTGGACAGTGATCTCTCTGAACACACTGGCTCATTAGCATTGCTGCCAGAGGATATGCTGGCACAGCTTGGGAACCCAGGAGATGAATGCCACTGGTACTATTTGCTCCTATCCCTTGCCTACCCCCAAATTCAGTTGCAGGGGAAAATGGAGAAGACAAGTGGCTGTACCACCCTGGATCTATTCCTGCCTTCAGCTCTGCAACATCTCTGTCAGTCTGTATTCCGTGCTGCCAGGATATTGAGTGTAGAAATAATTATCACTGAGGTCAGAGGAAACTACCTGGGTAGAACTGCGCTCCCGTACTTGCCATTCAGCCTTCTGTGATTGGTATTCAAGCTCTGCCTCCTAAGCACTACGATAAGCCTCTTCTATGGCACAAAGGTACCTTGTTTTCTCTTTCCTCTCACATAGTTGATGTGGTCCTCCCCAAAATACAGCTTGGTCTTCTCCAAACCCATCACTCCAGATATAGTTCTATTGCAGGCCAGAAGGCAAAAGGTTGATTGGAACATAAATGCTAACTAATAGAGGCAAACTTAAGACCCAGTTTATTTAAAGGGTTCCCTCCCTGGAAGCCTGTAGAACCAGGCCTACGTGATTCCAACAGTGGAAAGTTAGGGTCCGAATTAGAGAACGGGCAAGGTTTTGGGCTCTCTTTTTAGTTGGGGTTAGTAGGACACCTAGAGCTATGATTGTGGCATAGGGTGATCCAGGGTCATGGTAAGCAGAGTGGATCCTAGACCTCCTACCCCAAGTTACAGGGGAGAGCGTTCCCAGTAGTGGTCAGGCTTGGGGCTGGAAAGTTTCCTTTGCTACAGTGGACACTGTAACAGTTCCACAGTTAGGGATCTTGTGGCTAGGTTTAGCAATAGAGCTTGGGGGCTCTCCAAGATAGTTGTTGTGGTCAGGCTCTGGTTCTCATGCCTGGGCCTGGGTATGGGGCAGTTGGAGCAGCCCAGGCTACAGTAAGAATTAGAATTAAGGTTCGGGAATGGGCAAGGCTTTGGGCTATCTTTTAGGTTGGAAGTGGTAGGACTTTTGACACCATAGTTAGGTCACGGGCTCATGGTAAATGGGGTGGATCATGGGCTCCCCCTCTCCTCCCAGCTCTGATTGGGATGGGAAGACTCATGGCAGCAGCACAATAAGCTGCATGCAACATCCTTTATACCACAGGTCCAAATCTTAATGGGGTCACACACCAAAGGGATTCGGATGCTCCAGGACATGACAGAGCCAGAGCAGCTAGTAAATGTGTTGTAATAGTGTACCTCATGGGCTGTATTTGCTGATGGAGCCACTCATAGGAAAAGCAAATAGCTTGCAAAGCCTCAAAGGGAAGGTGCCCATAGTGATCCCCACCAATTGATTTCTTCCACTGCTGTACTGCTTATTTATGGGATAACTACCTCAACACATGAGACCATTGGCTGGGAATCTGTCCCTGGGTCAGATTAATCGATTCAGTTGCCCAGAACCTCAAGTCCAGCCCCAGCATTATGGCAGATTCACTCTTTGTCAGGGATACCTCTCACTTTATTTAGACTCAAGGCACTCTTTGTTACACCCCAGCTACTCTCAAAAATACCAGCTCTTAGCTTTCACTCATTTTTGACTGCAGAAAAATAATTAAGCAATTCTTTTGTGGCAAGGACCTCAGGAAAACCACAACAGGTCAAAGTGTTTTTGACACTGTGGATTGCTATTTGAAAACTTTGGATTTATCTTGTGAATCACATGTGGGTGTTTGCACACCTAACTGTACTAATATTGTGCAGCACCCTGGTTGAGAATCACTTCTGGAAGTAGCTAGCTCTCTCTAGCTATTAGTTTCTCCATAAGAGAACTTCCTACACTGCCTGGACTGTTCCTTTGTGTTGATTGGTCTTCAGCTGCACTGCTAAGGATATTTCTAATACATGTGCTGATATGTAAAAAGTCATGCAGGAGCCCTGTCGGACTCTATCCGGGTAAGGGTTTGACTTACTTGCCATTGTTTCAAGCCGGATCATGAAACACACAAAATCAGGGAAGCTGATTTTCTGAGAGGAGTTGCCATATCTCAGAGCCATGAGGTGGAGGAGCTGCTCAGTAGCAGCCACATCTACAAAAAGAAGAGGAGAAGACAGTGAAGATGATGGCCACTGGACATCCCAGGGTCCAGGCATTCTCTACAAGTGGTATTAGATAGGTCCTTCCCATTCCCATATCTGGAGATCACCGCAGCCTTATATTTAAGAGCAAGAACTGGAGTGGATTGATTTGAATCAAAGTGACATAAATAGCCAATTTTTATCATGGTTTAAATCAGCAAGCAAGAAGCTTTGATTTTAATCATCAACTTTAATCTTCTTTTGCATTTGTACTTTTTTATTTTCATGAAGAAGGAGGATAGACTGATTCTCACTGGTTGGTAGGCATTAAAATATGTTCACAAATATAGAATTTACAAGAAATCTGTCACCTTTTTTCCTAACCAAGAGAGTGCTGTATCCATGTACATTTACTCAAGCAGTTATATAGCTGAACACACTTATTTGATTCTTAATTTGTATGTTTTCTATTATGTTAGAGAATGGCGAGTGGTGCATTTCTATTTTTTACTGGACAATTAATTTTTATTCAATAGCTGTCAAGCTCTGTTTGGATGAAAACTGGAATTTAATTAAAAATGTGTCAAATAGCAATCTTAAATTGCATTTCCATTAGTTAAAGCTAACTTAAATAGGCTGGATACATTAAAACAATTAGTTTTTAGGTAAACATGGTTAACATTTTAAATTGCTTTATTAAAAGTAGTATCTGTGCAGAGGAAACTGAAAGCAGTGTTCTGGTCTATGGTCTCCATGTCCTTCAAGGTTTTAGCATTAGTAGATCTCACCCTGTCAAACCTAATTTTAGTCATTGAATGGAAGAGGAAAGCACACTTTCCTGCTTTTTCAACTCCCAATGGGTTTATCAATTTAAATGAACTGGTCATCTACCTGAACCAGTTGAATAAGCAGAAAAGAAGAAAATACTCTGCATCTGCAGAAGCAGCTACTGCTGTCAGAAGCTGGTTTAGTATAAATTCCCCACCCCCAGGCCTCCCCCAGAAACAAGCTTTACCACCGTCAGCCCTGGTTTTAGTTTTAAAGTTGCTTAGTCAGTGACTCCTAGGAGTTCAGTGGTTTGATTTTTCTGTATCAGCAAATATATACTGTTTAATATTTTATTGCAATAGCGTGTAACAAGTTTATACTAGCACATTTTAAGTAAATTTATACTAAAAAGAAATGTCATAGCTTGCCTTCATGTTAAATAAACAAAAATATATTTTTCCTCTTATGTAACCTAGTTGCATGGGGAGCTTTTTAATCCACTCTGGCAAGAATCATCTCATCTCTTTTGTTAATCCTTTTCAGGCAGTGAGCACATGTTAAGCATGCTGAATGAAGCCCTGTGAAACAGAAGGCCTGCCTACTATCCAGATAGCCTGGACTCAAGGGGGTATGTTGAAATCTTTCCTCAAGACAACATCAAAGGATCCCATAGTCACATCTCTAACTAAACAAGTGGTCGAGAGTTTGGTGTGGTCAGTTCAGGGGTTTGTAGCTCATTTGCCCTGCTATCCGTTTCTGTCAGGCTCTCCTTGTTCCCTATGTGAACAGAATCTTTAAAAACTTTTGACTCCAAGGGCATGTTCCAGTATATCTACTTCTGGCCTTATATATAGCTTTCCCCTACTCTTTACCCTTTCCTCTTTCTCTCCTTTCATGGTCAGATCACTTTGGCTGGTTTTACTTAAGCTTTAAGAGGGCAGCTTTTTAATTTGCTGGATGTGAAGCTATTGTAATGTGATATGTGCTTTCCAATCATTTTGATGCTTATAGCTAGCTCTTAAGTGTGTGTGTGTGTGTGTGTGTGTGTGTGTGTTTATATATATATATATAGAGAGAGAGAGAGAGAGAGGGAGAGAGAGAGATCTTCACCTGATGCCAGGCAGCATTGCAGTCAGTGAAGCAAGGTTGATTTGTGTCAGTGGAGGACCCAGACCATTATTATGATCTTTTAACCATTAATGCCCTAATTAAAAGTAAGCATATACCTAGCTGTATACACATAGCCTTCAAACACTTCAACACATGCTGAACCCTCTCCTGTATTTAGCAACAGGGATATACCTGGGCTGCTTGCAGGCTTAAGGAGGCCCTGTAGATCTGATTGCTCCCACCTTTAAGAAAACTTAAGGGAGGCACTTCCCTCAGGCCTACAAGAGTTTGGCCTGTGCTGCATGGTAGAGGAAGAAGCAAGGTGCTGTTTGTACTCTTCCCTTAAAAACTTCTCATAGGGGAAAAGGTGTTGAATTTGCCATTTACATTTATTTCCCTTTTTATCCGTTCTGCATTTGTACTGTTTGGGCTGCAAGGACTGCACCACATGCAATTCTCCTCCATATTTTACACTCTAGTGCCTTTATTATAATATCATTCCTGCTGCTTCCTTTACTATTTGGCATATTAGTGATATGTTCCAGCTAAAAGACCCTACAGCTTCTTGCCCATAGCTCCTTAGGGAATTTTCGTCTCTAGAAGCCATGTTTTACCTTCCTTCTGAAAAAAAATCCACTAGTTTTGTGACCTTCATTGATTACTTTTTTACAAAGTTCCTCATGGGGTAAAAGGAAATTAAAAGAGGGTAGTGCAGCTGAAATAGCTATTTAACTATATGGAAATACTGCTAATGCAGTTTTATAGGACAGTAGTTTCCTGTGTGATGTACAAAGTCATCAGCAAGAGGATTCAGCTAGAAGAATTCAGCCACATGACAAAAACCAGTGTGCTTGCTTAAAATCTGAAGATAAATCTAGCCAACAGAGGTCAGTGCAAACTAACTAAAAGGTCTATCAATGTAGCTTTCTCCTAAAGAATGATTCAGAGCCCGGGAGAGATCAAATGAATGAACTAACATAAGTTACTTGCTCCTTTCCCCCTTGCCATGTATTTTAGCCTAACCTAGAGAGGCCACTTCTTTGTGAGTCAAAGGATAATTTGGTTTCCAGGCCTACTTTGCTTCTTGGTCTCTTTGATCCTTGGCCTTCTTGCCCCAGGGCAGATGTCTATAACCAGCAGCCAGTTCAACAATGCTCCATTCAACCCTAGTACAGCAGAACTAGCAGCTGGGGAAAGAGTTTCCTTGTGAAATTATCTTTTTGGTTTGGTTACACAGAGATGTGGATGCTGGTCAGTATGGTCTTTTCCTATACAGATCTCAAGCCTATACCAAAACCAGAATGGAATTACTACATCTGACTAACAAGAGCTTCCACACAATTCCCACCACCTTCCTCCTACTTTTCATTTCTCTCTCCCTTCACTTCTAACCCCTTTCCCCCCATCCCAGCTTCATCCTTCTCATACTTTGGGTGTCAACAGACTGGGAAAAGTTTCATACAGCTAAACCTACCTACTGCATGCATTGCACTCCTCAAGTCTGAAGCATCAAGGAGTCCCAAAAGACTTCCAGCTTTTCTGTTGAAAAAGTCCTGGGAAAACATTGTAAAACAGTGTTTGGTTTGTTTGTAATTTAATCTGATGACAACTCCCCAATTATTTTCTATGAACTATCATGCTATCTGACTGTCACTTTGCTGAACGGACTTGATGGAAACCCACTGCAGTGTCATACTGGACAAACAGCAGCAGAAAAGACCTATGTCCAGAAAAAACATCTGGGATATCCTTGCTCCCAACACGTGTGGGGCTCCCTTGGCCTTCATAGGCATGCAGTTGGCGGATCCTTCCCCTGTTCCAGCTTGTTAAGTGATAGTGGCCTGATCTGATGGACAGAGATGAGGTGAGATGTAACTGGAAAAAAGGCAAGCAGTGATTAGCAGTGGGACATCCAAACTAATTAAGGCATTTTAGTGAGACTATTGCATGAGCAGGTCTGAATATTCACATAGGTGTGACCCTTTCATTTATATCTCCTCTGCCAACAAAAGCAGCCCATTAATAATGACTCAACTGAAAAAGCAGTTACTGAACTCAAGTATTGCTGTGTCATTGGGTAGGGTAACATTTCCCAGGATGCATTGTCATTCTAAGTTTTCAACCTGTGGTCTGTGGAAGTGGTTTTCAACCTGTCATCCACAGACCTCTTGACTATGTCTGAGTCTGTGAAAAATGACTATGATCCATCAAAATTATGTGAATACCCACAGTTACAATTCAAAGGGGTCTGCACTTCCATATGAAATTTCCAAAGGGGTCTACACCTCCATTCACCATTTTTTAGGGGTCCACAAATGAAAAAAGGTTGAAAACCACTGTTCTAAGGAGTATATCCTCACCTGCTATAATTGGGTGTAGCTCTGTTTTCAGTGAAGCCATATTCATTTATAAAAGGTGAGGACAGAGCTGAGATGGCCACAAACCATCTCAAAAGAGAAGACAGGAAGAATTGGGCAGCAGGCTGTTTTCTCATTCCACAAACCTGTGTATCATTCTGCATCAGGACAAAGTAGAATGCTGTCAAGATTTTTTTCTGGGAAAAACACAGTGTGAGGTTTTTTTTCCCCAGAAAAAGAATACCCAGGTAGTTATGGCACTTACACAAGACATGAAGAAACTCATGTTCAATACCCTGCTTTGTCTGACTCTGATCAGGGACTTGAACCATCTTCTGCTTCCTAGATGGGGTTTTTGACCACCTGGCTATTGTGGGGCAATGAATACACGCTCCATTTCTTACCAGAAATTCTATCTATGAGCTGCAAAGTCTTCTCCAAAGAAAATGTCTTCTAATCTCGTACGCTTCCACAAAAAATGTGGGTTGACTGAACTGGCATTTTCCCAACAAAAGAACATGCCAAAAATTTCCCAACTAGCTATGTGTGAACAGCTGTTATCCCACTGAACGCCAGGCCTACTCCTCTGTAGAAATTTGGGGCCAAACACGGTCCCCAATGCCTGCTGCTGTAACTTCTTCCTCAATGCCTGCTGCCTAATTTGTTGGCTCAGTTGCTCTTACCACTTAGACATTCTGACATACAGCTCCGCATCCAGTATTTGCAGCTTCCTCCCTTTCTTAATGATAAAGCAGGTGTTTGATCTACTAAGCTGCACAGCCTTTGCAATTTTTCCCCCCAACAATATTTTGATTTCTGAGCATGTTGGCATCCCACTAATTAAAAATACAATAGTACAGTGGCAGAGAACATGGATCACTGACAGTTCAGATGTACCTTATACTTAGCAAGATATTTCCAAAGGTTCTTGAACTCTTGCATGGTGAGTCTTCCATTCGAACTGAGCTGCATATGTAGTTAAAGACTAATCCTTTACTGGAAGCTGACTGAAATCCTGTTTCTTCCAAAATGACATTTTGGACACAGCTTTCGCCACCAAAGAGGGATGAAAGAAATGATCTCTGTTGCTTTGTTATTTTAAACTGAGGAAAGCAAAGAACTATGCAGCTTAAAGATTCTTAGTTACCTTTCGAGTTGAAGTTCACTTATTTCATGCATTCTAGACCTTCTTTCACTCATACTAAGAATCAATGAATATCTTATATTTTTTTTAATTGCATTTCATTTCAGAGTATTATCCTCAAGTTACAAATCCATTCAAACACATGATCCCACTGAAATGCAGCTGCATCTGGGCAGGAACAAATGTTGCTTTAGTGTGGTTCTGCCACTTCTGTGAGGTTCAGCGGGTAAGCACAGCAGCTCTGTGCATGCTGTCTACAGGGCATCACCCTGGACTAGATTTTGTTGCTTTCACACTAGCATGCACTAGGGTAGAAGAGAGCACCAGGAAGCATCACCATCCCTGTAGCCAACATTCAGGAAGCCTTTGTGCTATTCATTTCCTGAGGGGGGGGGGGGGCT